AACTAAAGCCTTTCCTCTACTGTGTGGGTTTGAATCTCACCGAGGCGCTGAAAATTTCACAGTTGGGTCTATATAAATCATTTAAAATCTGCCAAAATATCTATGAACTATTAACAAGCAATTTACATGGGAATTCGTGTTAAACCTAATCGGCACCACTAATGTATGACGCGAAGGAGGTAATGTTCAAGAGAATTTGCTGCATTTGACGAGAGTGGTTCATGATACTCTGGTTAATTTGATAGAAAACAAATATGCTAACCTGAGGCATACCATTAAAGATGCAAAATACATGCACGTAGTCGATAAGGTCCTAAGATTTGAATTGTATTCACATAGGGCAAATACATATTGAAATACCTGACCCGTCCTATATACGTAATTGATAATGAGTTTCTTATGTAAAGTAGATTTATAAACTGACAAGTACAGGCGCGATCAGGTTGGAAATAGGCCACATAAATGTCATACAAATAGTGAAGTTGTGTCGCGTGCACTTTACAGAAATTACTGTTTTTACGATGACGAACAGGCAATGCATATAGCATATATCTGCCAATTTTTTTTGAATTGCAAACCACTGCAGCAAATTTGATGCCACCAGAAAAGTGTCCGACAGTTAACTCTCTGGTTTCATTTCCACTGTTTGTGGAGAAACAGCTGCTTAAACGGCCCAATATGACGCATTATTTCCGGCTTCATGATGGACCGATAACACAACTTAATCTGTCTGTGGAAGGCAACATTACAACAGAAATTTGCTCATTCCCTGAAATGTTCAGGAAGGAAGTCGTTATAAATTTGCACTGTCAAATTGAGTTCGCAAGAATTAAACTGAGGATCAGTCACTTGGTAGGACCAAAATGTTCTTTGCTACTTCTGAATGTGCAGTTGTGTTCGTCGAGAAAATTATTGTATAAACTCTTTTCAATATAGAAACTTCGGCCACTTATGAGGCATGCCATGTCAACAAGGATTCTGGATACATTGGAGTTTGTCGTTGAAAAGCTGACGGCCGTGGGAGCAATTATATACGTCTCTCGAATGGGTTTTCTTAGTGATCAGTTTTATTTTACTGACCTACGCTTTCCGGACTTAAATATGAGTGTAATATACCATACTGGTAATAACAGCGAGACAAATACTGATTGGCAAATGCGAATCCTTGAAAACACCGGAAAACTTGTCGGACTTTCATTCCTACGATACTTACCGATTGTCTGCAGCACATAGTTCTGTGTATTCACGAATCGCCTATCAACAATTTCTAACCCGAATTGATGCATATTTGGAATTATATGTAAAAAAGTAGTACTTATTTTATGCTTGCACAAAAATCTCTGCCAATACTTACTTTCGTACGATCATTCGAGTGAGTATTTGACTGCGGGTTCTAATAATTCATCAGACGCAATCGGGACAACCTCGGCGGCCTCAGTGTTTTTGGAACCCACGACAACAGGCTCGAATCCTGCGCCAACTAACCCCATTCCTTGCTTTTGTTGCTTATCTAATTTTCTGCAGGCCCCCCAAGAATTTCACTTTTATGCGAATTGCGTTCTTTGGGTCCAGAAACTATTTCTCTTTGTTTTCTACTAATGGCAGTATGTTTGCAATTTTAAAATAAGCTCCTGTAACTTTAAAAGTAAGTAGGATTTCCATAGCGTCAAATATGTATTGCGACACATCGCTTTCATCGAAATCCTATTAAAGAGCCTAAGATATATTTGTTAGTTAGCGACGATTATTTTTGCCATGTTAATTGTATGCATTAAGCCAAGTCGTTTAAATATTTTGCAGGCTTCTGTTGCCGTTGCTGGCGAACACATCCTGTCGAATTTTCATCTCTTGAAAATTGCAATTGTCAGTACGTCTTGCTCAATGCGCTTCACTGTCTTAATGATTCTCTTGATCAAAGTCTTCTTCGCATATACGTTGTATGTAATATAGGCCTTTAAGTCGCCGGGATATATTTCTGATACTATCGTGATGTCATGTTCAAACCTACTAACATTCAGCCTTAATGCACTTACGTTTCCAATACACAATCTAGCGTACCTGGCTAAGGGCTTGTCTGACATATTAATTTTGACTCAGATTCCCTTGTGGCCGTTCATTCATTTCTAGGAACGAATCTCAATCACAAACCTGATTCAACATAGTGTTTTTATGTCTTGCAGACTTTTGCCAGTGGCATTATTCTAGGAGTTTAAAGGAGTACTGATTAAAAATGACGATTACCCAAGCATCTTTTTAGTGTTCTGTTGGGAGCCCACTTGGAGACCGAAACCTTAACCTTCAGCACCCGTTTGAATATTCATGCTATTATAATAGCATGAGAGGGCTGGCCCCCTCATAGCCCCTTCTTGGCCCACTTTCAAGAGGGGGCCAAGTGCTGGCAGGGTAGTATGTGTACAAATGATACAACCGCACAAAGTAAGACAGAACGTATTTAAGGAGAATGAATTGCTCACCGGATCGGGGGACTTTTCTGGCTGACGTTTCGAAGAGCTGGGGCTGCTCTCCATTGTCAAAGCGTCAAGTGAAAAAATCGATCAGCATTTTTGAATAGACTGCCGCATTAGTTGACCCTGGGC